CTGCACCACCATTTTTTTCTGGTAACTTCATTGTTGAGAAACGAAGCAGACTTTTAATTTTCAAGATACATTGGATGTAAAGAAATACACAGGGTGATTCACAAATGATGACCAAAAATGAAACCTCGTGTTCTTTGGTGAATTTTAAGGAGGTATATCGGGTTTACTCAAATACACAGATGTACTTGAAATTTATTTGGCCTATTACCCAGTGCTCCCTTTGTGCGTCATATTTTTATGAATTTTTTTTTTTTTTGAATCTATATTTTGAGATATTGTTGTTGAAAGTTGTTCATTTTAACATAGGTTTATATGGCGAAGATAGACGGTGTGGCTCTTTTTTTGTGAAACAAAACTTTTCCATAGATAGTACACAGTATTATCTTATTTTTGATGTAAAGCTAATATAAGTTTTGAACATAGTACAGCATTAATACATAATTAGAAACAGAAACCAATAATTGCATTTCTGTCTGACTTGAGGATTAATGTGGCAACGTCGCAATCAGCTGACAGCAAGGAGGAAATACTTTTGAGAGACTTGATAAAAACGAAATTGATTTCAAACATATACATGTTTCCTAAATCCCATGTACATTGTTCTCAACAATAAATTATCCACAACAGATGATTTTTTTGTAATGTTGTTAAAAAACTAGATTAATTAAAAAAGACTAGGAAGCTGTGATATATTTATTGGAATAAAAAATACAGTTGCTAAATCCTTTTAATATATCTAATGGTTTATAAAAACATCGTAATCATTACCCAGCAATATTTAGGGTTACATAAAGTTTTCTTTACTAAAGAACATAAATATTTCTCAGCAAACTTTTGTAACATTACTAAAATAGAGATTAAAACACGAACAGTGAGTAATAATGTAATTTCTATCACACAACCTTCAAAATTGCATCCAACATTTTCTTCGACTTGGACGAGAGATGGGCGCGAGTGTCATTTCATTTCTTTAGAACTAAATTAACATAATTCTCGTTGTTTTACCAGTTCACATGATTTACGGATGTTAAATAAAGGATACAAATCTTCGCGAGGATAATACGATATATTTGCTATATATAATAATTATATTGTACATAGTTTACACACAATACATTTTTGAACGCGTACGCATCTTTACCCGAATTTGATGCGTAATATCTCCGATGTCCGAAGTCTGTAGGTTCGTAGGGTGTACAACTGCTAGTCAATTATTAGCGCTGTTGCCACATCTACATAGTCTTTATGCGTTCATTAAATATAATTTAAAACTACTTAATTATGATATTTTTATGTTGTTAATTAGTCAATATGTATGCTATGTGTATGTGGGTATATTTCTTTGCCATATAGATAATGTTTATCGCAAATAATTTCAATAGAATTAAATTTTTTCAAATTGGCAGCGGGTTTTAGTCCCATAAGAAAAGCATAGGACCCCCCTGCGCTCCTCACTTCCCTCGGACCCCATTATATCTCCTTATGGGGAGTCTTTCCGTTAAACTTAAAAAAATATAATTTAAAAACTATTAAGTGAAATAATTTGATAATTGGGCACATGTATTTATATAAACATTGTCCAAAATCTGAGGGCTTCGAAAAAAGCCTGATTTTCGAGTGAAACTTAAAAAAACAAATAATTTTCTTTTTTTAATGTTAATTTTTGCAATAAATCTGAAAACACTGAATATTTCCAAAACAGCTGAAGATAGGTATATGACATTGTGCATGAAATATGTCTAGAATATTCTGAAGAATCCAAAAATTGAATAATAGACAGGGTGTTGCATTTAAAATAAGAAAGTTGGTATTTACCACTGTTACATGTATGAAAAGTTTTTGTTGAAAACAGTGCGACGTATCCGAGTTTTTTCGAACACGCCTTCATTTATTTATTATTGAATATATTCTATTTGGCTGATACACACTGTATATGCAAACGACACTATCCCATATTTTCATTAGAAATGAGACTGCGATTTTTAGAGGATAAACCTCTCGGAAAACTTCTATTTAACGACTAAACTCTGCTAAAATTAAAGTAAATAATTACCCCCACATTGTTTTTATGGCCCCAATAGGGGCGAAACTGCGTAACACCAGGCTACATTTCTGGAAACGTATATTTTGTTTAATTTTAATTTGTTCTACGCGTCTGTTACTACCCTCCTCTATGCTATTGAGCGCCTGTTATAACTAGGTCAGACGACTCTCAACAAAACTCATATAATAAAAGTTAACGGAGCTATCCAAACTTATAAAAGTTGATTAGATGACAGTCCTAATGTTACGTCTCCTATAAATGTGTATAAGATACCCCACGACAGGGCTTCGTATTTATTGTTCTTGAGATAATTTTTGATATATCGAATCTGTTTGAATTAAATGAGAACTTGCAGAAATAAAGGTCTGAGTTAAGTTTCTTTTATTCGTTCTTTCGTCACAATAAAATCTATTGTACTTAATGTCAATCCAGCTCTTATTAAATGAACGATGTTCTGTAGAAAGGAATAAGTACAGTAAAATTACAACAAATAAAAAAGTATTATTTGTTGTTAATGTTAATTGGGCAAATTTAAAATTTTAATCTGGGTGGTTAATATAAGATCTGTGGAGATATATCTGAAATCTGTTCGTTGTCGAGTTTATTTTGATCAAATTAAAATTTTAAATTTAGTCAGTTAATATTGAAACACCCTGTATATTCATAATTCATAGCTACATTGTAAGGAGTATGTAAAATTTCTCATATTTAAATTAGATCAGAATTTTATCATTAAACTACAATGTGTGCATAATTAATGATAACACCGATTCTAATGAAATTAAACCAATTATTTTGATTGTTCTTTTAGTACTAAGAAACAATTAAATTGTTTATTCTGCTGACGAATGGCCTTTACTGTTTACTAGCTGTTATAGATGTACAATTCACTCCAGGACTATGCCTGTAATGCGTAGAGTTTCCTACGTATCATGAATTAAAAGGACGATTTGTTTTCACCTAACGACTAGATGTCTAAAAATGATATTCTAGTTCATTTCTTATTCACAAATTTTCACTAGAAGCGGTCTATCACGATTTTGTTATTTTCTTTTTTTATATTAAAATTATTTTATTTGACTACTGGCTTAAAAAAAAATCTAAAAAGTACGATTGTGTCAAAAATGACAGTTGTTTATTATATAATTTTGGCATTGGCTTTTATTTCCAATAAAAGTTTTGCAAAATCGAGATTGAAATACTTAAAATTATATATTTCCATTTCTCAATTATTATTATTTACCCAATAATAAATAAATGCCAAAAGTATTTGTAAGTTGTCCTTTTCATGTAAATAGGTATACATTATGCTAAAAGAGAGTATGAGTACTTGAGAATTAGAACAGAAAAAAGCAAAATCAGGAATTGAAGAGAAAAATTGTGGAGCCATAACCTCCGTACACCGTTCGAGGGCATTAACTAATCGACATAGAGTACATGTCACAAATTATGCACTGCTCTTTTTGCAAAGAACTTATTTTAGATTACCTACAAACTGTGGTCACGAAGTGATTTGCGTGGAAAAGTAAAAATATGATTTAGTTACATGCATAAGTAGCATACTACATACAACTATGATGCACTTCTGGTGAATACAAATGTTCCTTGTAAGACAAGGGTTTAAAGCGATCGCATTTGTGAAAGTACAATACAATTTGACATATGTAGTATTATAATATTTTAAAAAATATACTGAAATTATTTTAAAGATTGATTTAAAAACGAAAAGTGATATTACAAATGTCAGAATTTATCTAAATGCATAAGATTGTTATATGCGCTGTGATGCAAAGCATAAATATTTCGTTGTTTATATGCTGTTATATTTTTTACTTTTTATATTGAAAGTTTATCGTACTTTATAAATAAAAAAAGATTTCAAAAACCATACTTCATTTGGAACTTTCCCATTCTATTTTATTATTCCGAATTGAATTACGCAAATAAACACAAGTTGAATATAATCCATTTCTAATGAATGACTAATTTGTGTATCGAAACGTTTATTTAAATTTACCGCCACCTATCCTCATTCTAACTCTGTTGCGCTGTTGCCGTTACTTCTTCCCGTTTATTACTTGGCGGACAAGTCAGGACTTTTTATGTTTGATAATTTATTTCTCTGTGTAATGTGCAATAACCTACTCTTTCTCTTCTTCCTATCTGTTAATTAATGATTCAGGTAAATTACTATTTTTTTTTCGATTTACCATTTACATTTTTTAGCCCGTAAATCGGTTGTACAAAAATATTAGTATCACATTTTTTGATACAATAAATGTATGTTGTTAAAAGAATTCGATTTTCTCAAAAACGGTACAAGATATCGACTGATATACGTATACCTTTTTTTAGCAGAGTGAGAGAGAAATCGAACTATGAAAGAAAAATGTTAAATTTGGCAACGCTGTCAAAGATTTAATTGCCCAAATTTCGTTGTTGTCATGATGAATGAAGCCCTATTGGAAAATGTTTTATGAACTACTACATCTATTTTGATTTTCCCCTGTATACCCCTTCATTTTTGACATGACCTTTCCGGACACCCTGTATAATGTGAACTGAGTGAGGTGTTTTTTTTTAGTATTGCATTGAGAAAAAACAAATGAAGTTCTTTTAAATTATGTCGCAACTTTGCCTTAGATAATTCCAACATTAAAATTTAAGTACCTATTTTTTTATACAATCTGTTAGCTAGACCTACGTTATACTCCAAATATAACCTCTACAGAAAAATCTTGAGTCAGCTATTTGCTTTCAATGTAATCAATCTTCCTATTGTCGAAAGCTGCTACTCGCTGCTTATATGGGGATTACGAGGGCCTATTCAGAGTACGAACTTTTAAATTTCTCGCTGCCGTATAGATTTTTTAATTTACGCCTCGCCTACGGCGACGCTGTCGTCCTTTCCCCTAATCGAACCCTTTAGATTAATGCGTTTTTTTTTCTGTTGCAGAGATGAAACAAGAACTAGAGGATCTAATGGCTGACGTTAAGAAGACTGCCAATAAAGTCCGTGCCAAGCTAAAGGGTAAGATAATTAGTGTCTTTTTGTTTTCGGAAATAAATCGTGGGTATTTTTGGTACGTATCGATAGGAAGGTTTGGTACAGACGTAAATTGAGAGACGTTCGTTCATAATCTCTGTGAATTTGTCATCAGAAAAAAAGAAAGCGTAATAGAATGTACAATCTTGCATTTAGGTGCGTTTCGAAAAAATATTCGCGAAAGTACAACAATATAATATTATAAAAACAAAATAAAGTTAAGGAAAATATTACAACAATGATAAAATTATAACTTAAAATTGTCATTTATTTTTAATCCTGTTTCTTAAGTGCCACAAACACTAGTTATGTGGAACGAAAAAGCCTTGTTTTAGAACAAAAAAAGAGTGAAATTTCTTTCGGTGTAATAAATTTTATGTACCTTAGGGTGGCCCAAACAAAACGAATGTATACAGGGTGATCCGAATTTTATGTAGGAAAATTCGAGGGCAGATAGATCTCTTTAAAATAATGTGTTTGCCATATAAATATAGGTCTGGAACGGCACCGTTTTAGAGATACGGGGTGTTGAAGTTGTCAAAAAAAATTGATTTTTTGTTTATATCTATTAACCGATTTCAATAAAATTTGGTACATATAATGTATGATAGTAGCCCTTATATTCCCTGAAATATGATCTTTAAAGGTTCAACCAGTGGTGTACAACTGGACAGGGGTCACCCCTTTTTTTACAAAAAACCCTACGCCACTGCATTTTTTGCATGTTATTGTTACTGATTTATATTTTAATGCACAAAATAGGAAAAAGGTGACTTTAATTTTTTCCCTAAGATTCGCCGTTTTCAACTTATTCATACCAATACAATCCCCTTGTGGCAGACACTTCTAACGATAACATTTCAAGAATATTTGTTTATGTTTAAAAGTAAGTGCAATTTGTAAGCACATCAACAAAATTATTTACACTCCTTTCTACACCACCTGTGAGGTAGTGTTTTATATAAACAAAAATCAATTTTTTTTTAAAACCTCAACACCCTGTATCTCTAAAACGGGGCCGTTCCAGACCTATGTTTATAAGGCAAACACATATTATTTTAAAGAGATCTATCTACCCTCGAAGTTTCCTGCATAAAATTCGGACCACCCTGTATATATATATTTTTCGTGTCTTGTGAATATATGTTAGTTTATCATGTTTTAAGAGCACCCTCAAAAAATCAGCTCAGCGCTTTAGAGGTCGCTCAATATTTTTAAAAATTTCCAAAATCGTCAAAAATTGAATTTTATTTTAAATTTTTTTCTCGTTATTTTATCATTTCCTATGTTGAAAAAAAACTCGATTCTGAAAATTTCAAATCAATATTTTAATTTCTTAAGGTCACTCATAATTATTTTAACTTTTCAAAGTAGTGTCCCTATGTTTTTAAACGACCTCTAAAAAATAAATATCAACGAACTAATAATTTTTTTATTGAATTTGATGAACAAAAGAATAGAAATAAATCACGAGACATTTAAATTTTAAAAAATTAAAAAATTATAAATACTTGAGACAGTGTGGTGTGGTAGTAAATTTTGCCTCGAGTGTCTCGTGAATTATTTCTATTCTTTTGTTCATCAAATTCAATAAAAAAATTATTAGTTCGTTGATACATATTTATTTTTAGAGGTCACTCGAAAACATTTTAGATACACTACTTTGAAAGTTAAAATAATTATGAGTGACCTTTAGAAATTTGAAATTTTCAGAATCGAGTTTTTTTTCAACCTAGAAAATGACAAAATAACGAGAAAAAAAATTCAAAAAAAATTTCAATTTTTGACGATTTTCATATTTTCACGTGACATGAAAAAAAAATCGTTTTTTTTTGGACCACCCTAATGTACCTTTTGCAAATTTTGTCTAATTTAGAGATGTTTCATATTTAATATAATTTTACAGTATCAGTTTATGGAATATTTCTTATTTTTAGAATTTTTCTTCTGAAAATTTACCTACACTTTTAAAGGGTATGAATACTGTGGGACAGAAAAAAATTTTAATAAAAAAAAAAATGAAATTTTTTTCAGAGAAAAAGGGTAGTTTTGAAAAAATTGTTTTTAAGTGATTACAGACTGCACAAAAATTAATTAGAAATTTGTCTCAAAAGACGGTATGAATCGGGGTCGAAATCTGGTTTGGGTCATCAACTTTAATTTTAATTTAATTAAAAGTTGATGAACAGAAGCATAGGACTGGAAAAGCCGAATCGCACTGGAAACAATTGGATTTTGTTTTCTTCAATGTCCGGAAGATTTTCCAAAAAAATTCGAAAATTTTTAGAAATTTATTTATTTTTTCTTCAATTTAAATGTTATTTGCGGTAAAAAAGTGAGAAAACCTGAAAAAAATTAATTTTTTTTCAAAAGTTTAACTGTTTGAAACAAAGAAACGGCTCGCTAGATCGAGATGAAACTTCACAGGGTTCTTCTGGGTATATCGAACTGTAAAAGTCATGCTTAACATTAGTCATTTCGTGAATTTAGTCATCAATTTTATAAAAAAACATAAATTACCCTTTTTTTCTGTTTTTTAAATTCGTGTAAGATGAAAAAAAAATTCTGAAAAATTGCGGCAGCATGTTATAGGAAATTTATTCCAGCTTTCGAAACTGCTCTTCGATTCTCTGTACAACCATTTGTCGCCGAGATATCGATGATTGAAGACAAAAGAATCCTTTTCCATTAAAAGTCCGATATTTTGATGAAAAATGGTCGTATCGAAGCTATCTGGTCCATGCAATGGCTTAGTCGAACAAAAATTTTCCAAGTGTGTGGACTCAACAAAAAAAATTGCAAAATATTTTTGTCGCGCTATTTCTTAGAATTGCCTGATAACTGTAGCTCCTAAAAAATTTCGACCGAAAGATCTAAAAACTAGAATCTTAGCTTTAAATTGCTTTTTTTAAATTCCCGATACGACCATTTTTCACCTAAGTACAGTCTGTCAAAAGTCACGGAAAATTTCGGAAATTCTTTTGACCCTTTAATTTTTTGCATTAGTTTATTACATTCTAACTATAGAGTAAATACTCATTCCCAAATTTTACGGTTTAATTAGGAACAGTTTGGGAGATATCTGGAAAAAAACAGCTTTCAAGGACTCACCTTTGTTCATCTAAACTTTTTTTCTTATTTCTACCCACATAATGTACTGGTAAAAAATTACATACTAACTTCGGTTTTAATTAAAATATTATAACAAATGAGTAAAATTATCAAAATGCTCAATATTGAGTGAAAATGTATTCAATAATTTTACTCGATGGATTCACTCTGTTCCTTTAGTGCTTTCAGGCATACCAATTTTTATACAGTGTTGAGTAACCAGGAAACAATTTTTTTCCTTCCGCTGAGGGCTTCTCTATTATATTTCTGTTTTCGTACATGCTTTTTGTTAATCGGCCAACAACTCTGTAACATTAACAATGGTCTCCGGTCCAATTTTAGCTGTCCATAATGGACTTGTACATTGTATTTAGAGGCTCTCTCTCCTGAAGGCCCAGCCACTTCCGGTCGGGTACAGGTATTCGGCTGGCGTTATCTGAGGGCGAGTTTGACCTACTTCGCAGCCTTGCATTGTTATCATTATATCAAGTTGGCAGACACTGGCTTCATTCCAAAAGTGAATATGATCTGATTTTCGGGACTTCGAATGAATATCTGCCGGAAGGTGCGCTGTTTATAGCGCGATCGTCCATAAAAACCTGTAATAAATTGGAGTCACTTAATTGGGGTGTCGAGATTTAGGTTATAAATGTTGGCAATAAATTTTGTTAAGTTTCAATCGGATCCGCCGCTTTATCAAGCAATTTGTGACAGTACAAGAGTGGAATTCGCATTATATTTAAGGCGTTTTTTTGTGGGAGAGGAGCACCGTGGACTTTGCCTTGTTTCTCAATATCGTGGAGTAGTAAAAGCTCATTATGTATGCAGACAAGTTAAAAATGCAGTACACGTACATCTAATTTCATAAATTGCTTCGTATTTTATGTGGGCTACCTAAAAGTTTAGTAAAATATTACTAGAACAAACATCAAACACAAAACAAAAAAAATGATAATTTGTAACGAGAGTGTCAAAAGCGTTGATTATGAATAGATCAATATAAATTGTTTTTTTATTTAATAATTTTGCCCACTTTTTCTAGACATGTGAACCTATAAGTTTATTATTATTTTTTATTTAAATGCAGAGTAAAACAAACTTTTTATTATAGATAAAATAATTGACAAATCGTTGCTCTTGCCTGCAATGTAAAATAAATTCGAATTCATAAATTAGTAAGTTATGATCCATTCCAATGAAGGCATCTTTTTCTGGAGTAAACGGCATAATGCGTTCTGAAATAAAAATATTTTTAACATCAAAATTTTGTTTCTGTTATAATTTACTAGTAATTTGACGAGATTCTACAAGTTTATCTGTGAAAACAACTGATTGATTTGAAATGTTGAAGCAAAAGAAACTATAAAATGATGGCAGCAAATAAACTCAAACGAAAACAGACACCGACGACGGACGCCACTGAAAAATGCACAAATATAAATTTAATGTCATTTTATTAAATAAATTCACATGGAGAGGGCTATAGCAAGAATGTTATAAATATTTAGGAGTTTTCTTATATTTTCTAATTATTGGCGGATGCGCCGATGTTTACCAAAGCATTATTTCACGAACAGCTCATTTTACGTAGCACTTTTCCTCCCTCTTTCTTGACTATATTAATAATTTCGAAGTCTGCTTTGAAGCAGACGGCTTTATTAACCTTTTTATTACCTAAATTATTAAGAAACTTGAAATGAACAATTATAAGAAAATATCTAGTAATTAACAATATTGCGTTTGTAAACAGTTAGATCAAACAAGTCACTTTTTGTTTCTAATAACGCATTTTATTATAATGATTTTATACATGGGTGACATGTATAGGATGGTGTAAATTGTACCACAACATGTCTATTTACCGGGTATGTTTTACACATTCCTTCAGGGATTTTGACTATTCGTTATATTCATCAATTATGTTAATATTTTTAAAACGATTTCAAATTTATATCTACACCTAGTCAATTTTCAGTTCTCAAGTGAAATGTCGACTTTTACATAGTTTTAAATTGGTATAGAATCAGTATAAAATTATTTAAGTATTAGAAAAGTTGTCAGTTATATTTGTTTTTATGAATAAATACGTATTTCAACAATTCTACTAGAAGTCACGGATTTATATCTGTTGTGCTGTTAAAATATCAATACCTACAACTTTGTTATGTCATAATAAATAGTTTATATTTTATACTTCTATATTTTTATATAAAACATTAAAATTTTATCTTCAACCGACACAAAACTATGACATTCTTTGACTGTCAGAAACCTCCAAGGTTGATATTTTCCTTACTAAGAAAAAAAAATGGTATCTTAGCAACAAAAATATTCACTTTTAATCCTTAAATTAAATGTGTTAATAAAGCACAAATTAATAATTAAATGGGGGATTTTGGTTGGAGCATGTTTTAGCATGTTTTATTAGAATTAAAGTGTTTTTTTGTCTCGCAATTATGCGACCGCTCAACTTCGCTACAAAAGTAACACTTTTAATCCTAATATAACAATATACTTAATATTTAGTTCTGTACATACAACTTTTTTAATTCCTGACTGTCTTTTTTTGATACTATACTGGATGTCTCATAATTAGTGTCCAATAATTTACCACTTGATTTTATTGCCAAAAATAATATTTTTTCATATAAACATTGGTCGACAAATGCTTCCTAAGGGAGCTACGCCCCCCTAAATGGGGCCTGAAAAAATTAATTTTGTAAATATATCCGAAATGGCTTGATGGAAAATGATGAATTTTGACATCGTGAACACTCAATATGAAGATCTATTGGTTGATTTTTGGAGTATGTACTTATAAAATAACTAAAGGGTGTCCTAAAAGTAACGCTGGATATGAGATGTCCGCCATGTTCATTCCTAAGACTTGGCAGCGTCGTTGCGGTTAGAAAAAATGGAGTTCTGTATGACGGATGAGCGAATGAATATTGTGAAAATTTATTACTGTGTGCAAATTACGTGGAATTTTTGGTAGAAGGAACGCCCTGGATGAAACAACTGTGAAAAAAGAGAGACAGTGTGGTGTGGATTTTATGCTGATGGGGCGATTGGTTCTTTTTTCAACAATTTCAGTTTTTTAATCGTTAATTTTATGATTTAACACTAAAACAATTTTTTTCTATGCCGTTCGATTGATTACACAGGTCAACAAGGGTCAAGAAGCAGACACACTAATATGCATTCTCGAAGGATTTTGGTGCGCTGAATCCGAATCTGGCCGCAGAATTTCTGTATCACATCAGGTTTTTGAGATATCCTAACCTAAAAGTGCAAAAAACACTGTTTTTCGTCTTATTTGAGGTTATGTAGTAATGCCATCTATTCCTTTTCAAAAAATACATATAATTTAAAAGTACAAGGCTCCCTCCTTCGAATGCCGTTGAGTTTGCTCAAATATCTTTTTTTTTTTCGTTGAGATATCACATGTTGAAATTTCTAAGTTTATCAGTTTCTTAATATGTGAAAATCTACTAAGGATTCCTTAGACGTCAAACAGTTGATTGCAGTTCAGAAACTTCATACTCGGAAACTTTCAATACATACGAACTCAAACTCACAAACTCCAAATCCCTAAACCCACAAACCCCAATCCCACAAAACCCGAACCTACAAACCCCAAGCCCACCAACTCCAAACCCACAAGCCGTATGGGTATGAAGTTTCTGAATTGCAATCGACTGCTTGATGTCTAAGGGATCCTTAGTAGATTTTCGCATATTAAGAAATGGAGAAGCTTAAAAATTTCAACATGTGATATCTCAACGAAAAAAAAAAAGATATTTGAGCAAACTCAACGGCATTCGAAGGAGGGAGCCTTGTACTTTTAGGTTCAATGCATTAGTTTTTTGAAAAAGAATAGATGGCATTACTACATAACCTCAAATATGACGAAAAACAGTGTTTTTTGCACTTTTATGTTAGGATATCTCAAAAACCTGACGTGATAGAGCAATTCTACTGCCAGATTCGGATTAAGCGCACCTAAATCCTTCGGAAATATTTATTCAAGTTTCTGCTTCCAAAAAAGTTAAATTTTGTTGGTGTGATTATTTAAAATAATAAAAAGTTGGTTTCAAAATTTTGTTTTACGACAAACATAAAAATCACGCTATTCGCTATTTCTCTGAAAATATAGTTAACATTTTTTTTAGAGTAGATTGAAAAAAAATATATTTAAAATTCATTCATTTTTGTGCTTGTTATGATTTTTTAAATATCTGAAATCATCCCATAACTTCTAGCCACCCTAACTCTGTTAATTTTAATAGTACAAGAAAAAGTCAAGAGGCCATTTTTATGTAGAATTGTATGCTTTACAACTTTTTTTTTCTAGCCCTTACCCCTTTTGACTAACATTGCGATTTAAAGGCCCATTTAATTGGCGAAAATCTGTACCAAGCCATACGATACGTAACAAAAAAGTTCCCCGATACATATTTTATTTAGTCCCGCTAAGAGACCGTGCGATTTTTTTGTGTATTTCTGTCCGCAGTTATAGAACAGAGTATAGAAACCGAGGAACAGAACAACAAATCGTCGGCCGACCTGAGGATACGAAAAACGCAGCATTCGGCGCTATCCAGGAAATTCGTGGAGGTGATGACCGAGTACAACCGGACGCAGACGGACTACAGGGAGCGGTGTCTGGCGAGGATAAAGCGGCAGTTGGAAATTAGTAAGTTTCCCTTTCCGCGGGCGGCCGTCCCGATTAGAAATCGGCGGGAGGGGGCGCGGGGGCGGTCGGGAACGGTAAGGGTTGCTAATGGGCGGTCGGATTACTCTTTGTAGCCGCTCGAATATTAAAATGTTTTTGTTCTTGACAGGTGGTTGCGTAGGTAATGGGATGTAAGGGTCGATGTTCGGGGAGCTGTGGGGAGGTTCATTTTAATTAAGGAGGACGCGGTGATTGGAGTTCGTCTGCGTGTTTTGTGGGTAGTGAGGGGTTAAAAAAAATAACGGGAAATTTTGTTTTGCGGGATGCTAGGTGTGTCTTAATTTAACTGCCGAATGTCTGCAGGTTGTTCCTTGATAAAAATTAAGGAAAAGGTCAAATGTCAGTTCTGACTCCTTGACCTATGACCTGTTAACAGTGATTTTTGTTAAATAAACTCTTTTATAAAAAATTAAAGGAGCAGGTTTATTGCTCCTTGAACATCTATTAATGATTAAGGTGATAAAAATTTTGTTTGCGTTATATTTCTCTCAATTTCGCGTTAAATACTCATCAAATATTGGGAAAAAAACAAAAATTATAAAAAAATTCAAAATTAAAAAAAAATAAATTTGAAAATAATCAAACCTCATTTTTTTGCGTAGTTTTGAAAAAAACTCTTAAAAACTTGAAAACTGGAAAAAAGGATCAATAAATAATAAAATGCAAAATACAAAGATTCAACTTAAATTAATGCAATTAACTTTAACTCGATGAAATACGGCAGGCGAAGAAAACAAATCGCATCAAAACTGGACGGAAAATGATTAAAAAAATTTCTGAATATTGGGTAATTAAAAAAAATTCAAATCTCCAATATTTTTTTAAATTAAAAATTTTTTTTTCGACATTAGAAATATTCAATGTGAATTTTTAAAGAAAGATAACAAAAAAAATTTTGAAAAATTTTTTTTTTAAAATTGTTTTTTTTTATATTGATTTTTTTTTCGATATTTGATGGCTTTTTAACGCGAAATTGTGAGAACGCAAAAATGTTTTTGTTATCTTAATCATCATTAATTGATGTTTAAGGAGCAATAAACCTGCTCCTTTAATTTTTTATAAAACTGTGACGATTCGGCAAATAAAAGGAAAACGGTTCGGCCGATCGATTTCAAAATTTACAGGCCTCATGGGTATTGATCTAAAGAAACCTACGAACATTGGTACTTTTCGCAATATTTGCAAAGTAGTCGTTGATTTTCCAAAACAACAGAAAAAGTGTTTTCTTTTGTAATTTTTCAACTTAATACCGAGTATACAAAAAAATTCCCAAACATACGAAAAGGCCCTTGAAGAGGGTTGATTCATGTTGACAAAACTCACCTTCCTTTCTCTGTAGGATCATTACTTCAGGAGATATCGATGATCAAAGGAAAAGGTGACTTCACTCAATAGCCGTTATTTCAATGGGAAATAATCGTGCAGAAAATAAAAAAAGACCAAATTGATGCTGAGCTATCGAGCTAAATGGCCCTGGTATTGATTAAACAAAAAAAAATCTGAGCCTATAGACAGTTTTGAAAAAAAAAAATGTAAAATTTTTAAGAGATATTTAATTTTTTATTTAGTAAATCTCGGGTTGAAATAATGTTAATTTCGTTAATACAATAGCTTCAATGCTCATGAATTTTCGCGCTACCTTAATGAAAAAAAAATCATCTCGATACGTTCATTATTAACGCGTAGCGCGCATGCTCCGCCTCGCTCTTCCCACTCGTTCGCTAGACCGAGTAATAGAACGCATCGCCGCTATCTTCTTTTTTGCAATTAAATAGTTGAATTCACCTTAATGTTAATGTAGGACATGAAAATATCGCTCTTAATGTATACTCTAGCCAAATTTCGGCTCTTAATATTAATAATTAAGGTCACTGCGATTAAATAAAAAAAATATCTCAGCTTCTAATCAACTTAAAGCAACGATTTTTTTTTAAATTCGAAGAAAAATAGTACTACCTAAACTATAGAGGTTACTATTTTATTTTATAATTTCCTATCTTAACAATTTAATAAATATTAACATTTTTTCAGTCATTTTTAAACAAATTAAATTTGAAAAATTAAATTCAACTATTTAATTAGGTACAAAAACAACTAATGATCGAAACTCACAACAACTGTGAGCTTGAGAAAAGTGAATTGAAAATACCATCTTAGATAACAAATGCCGCCAACGCCAAACCAATTAAGTTTTCGGGCTGAAATTTTTACCACTTATTAAGGGTGCAAAAAGCCTAAAAAATCCTGAATTACAAGTGTTTGCGATGAAAATTGTATTAATTATTAGCAATTGAAAAATGCGGACATTTTCGACCATTTTTGAGCTCTTGCGCATAAACAAATTATCGGATTTTAATCGGACTTGTCTTATTTTAGAGATTTATTTAATACCTACCTTTTTTGTATAAACCTTTTTTCTCTATGAATAGCAGTTTTTTTATGCGAGTCAAAAAACCACCTTTTCATAACTTTGACCATTGTTTTAACAAAGTTTCCCAACTAATCTCGAGTTGATTTTTTGATATTTTGTTTATAACATGTTTCTGAACAATATTCCGCAGAGAAAATTCTAATAGTATTTTTTTCCCGAAAAAAAAGCTATAATGACTGGCCTACAAAGGAAAAAAATTTAAAAACATTCTTTCTAAAATTATTCAAAATTCAAAATTTCACTATTTTTCCTATTTTTCAAGTTTATTTTTTACATATCTCGAAAACTATTATAGTTACAGAAATGAGCTTGTGTTTGTTTTAAAGAGGATACTTGGGGCTATGAAAAATATAAATATTCCGAAAAATAATTTTGAAAAATGAAAAATTAGCAGAATTTTGAATTTTTAAAAATCGTCAAAATCGGCTATCAACATTAAATTTTTGGCCCAATTTTTTTTTTTATAAAATACATTCAAATAATCTTAAAAGGTCCTGAAATTTTCAGAGTTGCGGTTTTTTTCCAAAAATATGAATATTTAAATTTTGGCAAAAAAAAATTAATTGTTAAGTAAAGTTAAGAAAACATAGTTTTGTAATTTTGAGCAGAAAAAAGTTCATTTTATGACATAAGAACATAAAAACAGAAACATAATTAGATAATGACTTCAAAATGCCGTTTGATTTTTAATTTTAGTCTTGATTTTTTTTATTCTTTGAAATATATTTCTTGGTCACGAATATTTTTAGAAAATCACTCTTCGTAAAAAGTTTATTTTTTTTTCTCTTGGACAATATTGAAGCTCGCCCCCTTCTTGTCCCAGATTCTACAATAATCTTTTCTTTCTATTGAAAAAATGCTACACTTTTCTGTACATGATGATCGAAACTAAATGATTTTGTGTCATTTCACCACCACAGCGGGTAGAACAACCACCAACGAGGAGCTTGAGGAGATGCTGGAACAGGGCAACCCAGCTGTGTTCACACAAGGTGTAAGTCGTCGCCGCCTCTTTCTCCCGGTCTATATCGCTAATTCCCGTCTCTCCATTTGCAGATAATAATGGAAACGCAACAAGCCAGGCAGACCCTGGCCGACATCGAGGCCAGGCATGCTGATATCATCAAGTTAGAAAATTCAATTAGAGAATTACATGACATGTTTATGGACATGGCGATGTTGGTGGAGAATCAGGTAGGTAATAATTTATTGTCCGCATGTAGGTCGCCGGAATTTATGCAACCTATATCGATGTCGCGCCTCCCCGTTATATGCGATTTTAATGCATATCGACTCGTCTGCGTTTGATGTCGCCCTGCGTTTTTCTCATGGCTGAAAGATTTATTACCCCGATCGATTTGGTTTGCTAATAGCTGGGAATTGTGAATATACAATGTAGATATGCAAAAAAATATATACAGTGTCTCAAAAGTGACGTCCGAACTTCTGGGTTCTGATTAAGGGGACAAAAACAAATCGAAAATCAAGACTGGAAAATTTTCAGCTGCCATTGCAGGATGTCATTCTGTTAGCAGTTACACTAAATTATCAGTTTCAACATGATGGAGCTCCATCACATGATTTACGAGTATAAAAAAATTATCTGAATCAAAACTTCTCAGACAGATGGATCGGAAGAGGTGGACCATGGCCTCGTAGATCACCAGGTCTGAATCCCCTTCATTCGGATTATTTAAAAGCCCGTATGCAGGCTGCTGTCGCGTTAATAGACCAAGAGATGTTGCAAAGAATTCATGCTTCAATGTTGAATAGTGATAATCTTTGTCTTGAAGTAGAAAGCAACTTATTTGAATAGTTTTTGTAAATACTTACCTACTATTGGTTATAAATTATTTGTCTTGGTCCCCATAAGCACAGACCTTAGTTTTGAGACATAAAAATGGATTTTATTTTTTTTAGTTTTTTGAATAATGTTTTCAATAACTCGACAAAGAAAAACAATCGGAAAATTTTCCACTTTTAATTTTCAATTCCTTTTTGTCTCCTTATTCAAATCCCAGAAGGACACACACTTCTTATTTGTGGAAGGGCGAAATGGGCGGTGACTATTAGACGCCTTCATTATAGCCATCTTTCTCTATCGCACGGATTTCTATGACTTACTTTATCGCTCTCACGTAACGGCCGATGAACCATGGGGACTTTCCGACCCTGTATACGTATTTAGTATGTGTATATTCGAATAAACCAGTACTATAAGTACTATACCATAACTACTATATTATAATAAGAAAATAAATGATTATTTAATACGAATGCACATTTAAAATGTTTCTACTCTCAATGATATTTATTTCATTTTATTTTTGAAAGAAGGGGTATTTTTCAAGGGTTGAAAAGTTGCAATCGATAAAAAAGATTTTTTAATCAAGAAATCAATTTTAATTTGATAAAAATGCATGATTAAAACGTTTCAAGTTGAAAAAAAAATTTTGTATACTATTTTCATCCAATGGGGTGTTTTTTTTTAAAGGTTCTTCCGGGATAAAAATTTGGGATACATTAAGTTTCATGTTAGATAGCACATGAAATTACTCATACTGCACAAATAAAAAAGATTTGATTACATAAAATGCTTAAATTTGTATTTTTTCTTTTTTTCCAATAAGGGGTGGTTTTCACCCCTTAAGAACAAAAAGCACACCTATGGCATATATAAGTTTTGAAGTGGGGGGGTAAGATGAGCCTAATTCTAAATTTTGAGAAAAATCGATGCAGTTATAAAAAATTCGGAGGTATTACTATATTTTCAGCTACAGTAACTGGGCTATTACTTTTAAAACAAATATTAACAGTAATATTTCATGTTCTGAAGGTTATAAAATAGCAGTTGATACCAGCGTCGGACTGTTATGTTTAGTGGCCCTTGCTAAATTCCGCGAGATACCGAAAAGAAATAAAAGTCAAGAACAACAAGCTTTATTGCGTTTTAACGCAACATTCGTTGGAATTTCTCTTAAAGAAGGCGTACAATTAGGAATTTAAAAATGTAGTTTTAATTTGGTGAACATACAAGATAATAGATTATTTTATCATTAAAATGCCATAATATGCCTTCAAATCTCGAATTAGTCGTACTTAAGCACTAACTAAGAAAAGACAAATAACTTTTATTATAACTGATAAAACTTTACCGAAAAACGGTAAACTATCACTTCTCTGTAACTCAAAAAAACAATATTCAAAGTATATTTTAATTTGAGCTTTAGAAGCAAACTAACAAGGTGGGTTTAGAAAAAAATATATTTTCTTATAAGTAGAGTTCGGGACCCGGTCGGATGATCATAGCCGTCGCGTCGACCTTTCGCTACAGCGCATCGTACGAAACCGTTAATAACGGCAGTTATTGGCTTCGCGTTTGCTTCATGCTTCATGTATACGTGTATATTCTAATAATGTCGAACGCGCCAAAGGGTAAAAAACGACCTTTCGATGATAAAGTACAGAAATTTATTTATTTTTATTTATACCTAAGTACCTGTTTATTTATTTGTTTACGAGGAACACGCCTATGACTAGCCGACGAAAACCCCGAACTCTACTTATAAGTAGATTTTTGTGTATTTTTACGTCATCTGAGCACATATTTGACGCTTCTGAATCTTTTGATTCCAGAACAACTTGCTCCTGGTCATCTTAAACAAACTTCAAATATCCATTTTCCTTTAAAGGGAGACGGTCTGATGATTTGTTTATTAACATAATTTCTAAAGGTTTTTTTATTTTTCTCCGCACAGTTTTCCGGAAATTTTAGATTTTTTAGATATCCCCTTTCCCTCACTTCCAGAAATCGCGGGTGAGCTGCCCAGACCAGTCCGACTATGATTGATTACCTAACTTTTATTTAATCTGTTATTTCTTTAACCACAAAAGTTAATTTGCAACAAGTCGTTCCGATTCTAGTAGTTGTATATATATTAATATTAATAATTTTACCGTGAATTATGTTCTTGAAAAGTATACAAATACAATACAAAGCCACCGAAAGCATAATGTATTTGCACAAAACTTCAGCTTCTGTGAAACCAGAAAAACGAACTTACCACTTCCGCCACATAAATGTACACAACTATATCTATAATTTGTTTTTCATTTGTGAAGTTGCAATTAATATTTTTATTTTTGTAGATCTTAAAAAGACAAAATACATATAGGTACTGAAACTATAAATTTCTACTATAAAAACAAAACATCTTTGTTCGAGTTCATTGTTATGTGGGTATATGTAAAAGAGGATCTTTACGTTTTTATTCAATTCTAGTAACATCAATATATTCATGAATTCTCACAAAATTCTAGTCTATTGGGGGCAATGAGATGTAAGTCATCAAGGTGAAAGATAATGGCTATGAAAACAGAGCGCCGTCAAATGCAGACTTTGTTACTAATCGATTTGTTCAATAGTATATTATGTAAATTCTCAAGCGATATTTTTTAAACATTATTTTCTCTACGATATGCAGAGTGTCTATGAAAAAAACCTTCAGGTAGTCTCCTTGTTTTCGAACGTTTATCGTTAAACTTAATAAGTAAATTCATTGAAACCGTATACATTTCAATCAAAATATAGGAATAAAAATTATAATGATTTTTCTCATTCCTTCTAAGAATGGATAGTATACAAAAAGTAAAAATCAAATGCCTCTGAAATTAATATTAATTTGAAATTTGAAAAATTAAAAAAAATTGTTTATGGAGCTACTTACAGGTACTTTATCGAATCGATTAGTAGTTACAATTTAACCAATTTCATTTGAAATTTGAAATGAAATTTGAAAAAAAAACGAAAATCATTTATATATAACCTGATATTTATTTTTGCCATCATACTATTCGCTAGCATTTGAAATGATATTGGTTAAGACATTCTTTTATATTTATTTATTGAATTTTTAAAATATGTACTATACCACTTTGATTTTATCTTGGATTGTTTTTTAAATAGAAATATACACTCGTCTATTTTTATCTTGTGCATAAATTGTATTTCTTTACATCCAGTAATTTTTTAAGAACTAAATTGCATGTTCTCAAAACAATTTAAGAGAAAATAATTAAGATACTGGAAATCGTGCAATTACTTCTAAATTAAATCCCAGCGGGGCTACAATTGCATGATAACCGTTTTAATCTAATTTTCATGTTCTTTTAAAAAAGTATATTTAACTGTGTTACTTACTTTAACTAATTTATTAACATTATATAGTTCACTACAAATGAATTGAAATGTGAAATTATAATAAGTTTTTAAATCAAAATATTAATAATTGATTATTTTGTTATTTTTCAAATCATGTAATGAGCTATGTATACCTATATGTAATTCTTGTTTTTATATGCAGTTCCTTTATAAATGAAAAATTAGATACTCTTGCGCTGAAAATCATTTTGCATTTTAACTGGTTAAATTTCACTTTTTCATACCTTTTCTCTATTCGGGATGTAATTTAAGTAAAAACATTTCAGGAGATGAACCCTTAGATCATTTTAAGAAGAAAAGTTCGTATAAATTTATGTCCAAAACTGTTGCTCTCAAGACAGTTTTAGAAAAATTTAACATTTTCAAATATCTTTGAAGATACGAGGATCGTTCAATAAGTCCTTCCAAAAAGATAAAAACAAATTATTTTAGGTAGATTTTTTTTTATTTCTCAACATACATGATCTCCTATTAACTCTATACACTTTTCCAAGCATTTCTCCAACTTTTTTAAGCCATCTAAAAAGTAAGATTTGGGAAGGTCCTTCAGTTCTGACTTGTCAACTGTTGTGCTTCTTTATCTATCTTGTGGGAACATTGTTGGTGGTACTCTCTCAATTCGGTGACTACATTTCCTATGCTACGAGCGCCATCTCTTGAATTTTCTAAGGACTTATTGAACGATCCTCGTATTTTACATAGACTGATGAAAGTTGGACTTGGAAAATTTCTGTACATCTTTTTCTTTGAAACAAAATTAGGAGTCAAACGTGTCAATCGAATTTCCAAAATGCTCAATAATATTGAAATTCTGGGCTCATGTTAACCAAAATGTACCTTTTAAAACATAAGTCCAGAAGAACTTTTCTTTTTAAAATTGTCTCCTCCGAAATATTTTCAAATATGTACTTAAGTTACATCGGATATATCATTTCTTACTTTTTAAGTGTTACTAACAATCTTAGCATCTTCTGTTTAATATAATAATTTGACAGTATACACGTATACACGTATTAACATTTACCAACTCCATTAGAAAAGATATTGTTAAGAACATTCATATCGAATAAAAAAAATATCAGGGTGAAATAAAGGAGCTGCAATTACTTTTGACTAACGTAACCTTGTCGTTCTGGCATGCAGTGCTTAAGTCCACCCTTAGGGTATCTAACCTTCTTCCACCCGCTGGGTATTTTAGGGCGAAATGATAGATCGTATCGAGTACCACGTAGAGCATGCCGTGGATTACGTTCAAACGGCAACCCAAGATACCAAGAAAGCTTTAAGATATCAAAGTCGTGCCCGACGGGTGAGTCCATTCCCTTAGTTTATAGGTTATTAGATGTAAAGAGCGCTTTTAATTTTGTTCTGTTGTTATTTCTCTACCCTCGCCCTCTTCCTTACCGTACCCATTACATTTATGGTATCTATTTTGGTTTTCGCTTTGCACCCGTCTAACTGTAACTTACGACTAACTACTCTGTGTGCCTTTGTCACTATCTGTTTTTAATGGTTTACTAAATGTTTGTACATATAACTGTTGGTTGCGCTGTTTTTCTTGGTGTACTCTCCCCGTCGCCTACTTCCCGTCCTTTCCCTTCCTCACACCCATCACGACATAGGGAGAGCTCGTGGACAGGGTGGAGTATCACGTGACAACCGCACAGGATCATGTGAAGGGAGGACATATGAACCTCAGCCAAGCGCAAAAGTATCAGTCGAAAGCTAGAAAGGTAGGTGGTGTTCTGCTGCAAGTCCCTTGTCTCCTTCGCAGTTTTTCCCTAGAAAGCCTAGGCGCTGTCACTTCACTTATTTTGTTTTTTAAGTGGCAAATGCTATTATATATCTCTAATATGATTTAGTCGCTTGATGATAGCAAAGTTTTATGTTCTCGATATGTATGTACGAGGGGTCCTAGAAAATTTGTCTTGCTGATAATGAAACAAATGGTTTATTTATGATTTTTTCGATCATATTCTTTTTCAGTTTTACTTTAGTGTGATGGAGCTTCATCCTCCTGTACTACAACTATTCATTCGTGAATATTTTTAGAACTATTCTGCTCTTTTGTTAAAAATGTTAACACTGTCATTTTTTTGTTGTTGTAAAACGCTTCATAAACCACAAAATAATGGACGGATTAAAATCAAACACCCAAACAGAAAAAGACTGTCAAATATTGAACCCTACTACACCTCTTCCAGATTTATTTCAGAAAGCATCAGTTAATTGTATTCAACATACAATTTTTTGTCTCATGGTTAGGCAGACATTTTTTTTAGTAGATCTTGTACTTCGGAATGTATGTAGTTTATGTTTGTAATATTTATACAGGGTGTTTCTTTAAAGATAACCAGCTTAATGAAAGATTTCTGAGGTCAATATAGAATGATGAAATTTCGCTTATTTGTCAAAGTTAAAATAATCGAATTTCGACAATATTTCAAAAATAATGTCGACAAATAAACTTTAAACAGTATTGCATATACTCTGAAACAAGATACAAATTAATTTTAGATTTATTATCATTTCGAACCTGTTGAAAAAACCAGTCAAGAACGATTTGGCGCCCTAGCGGAGCGAGAGCTGGCAATAGAGTCCGAGACTGGTAAATTATACTTAACTGCTGCGTGGTGTATATTTTATCTGCTCTCACAGTTCTTTATCGTTCATGAAATAAAGAATAGATTTTATTTTTTAACATTTCTTAATCAATTCATTTTGACATTATTTGAAATCTTGCAATGTCGCCGTGGTTGTTTGGATTTTGTCGTTTCTAAGGTGTTTATAAACAAAGCTACATAAAAGTTGCAATTTTGCTGGTTTTGAAACATTATTTCTAAATGAGTGATTTTCAAATAGAAAGTGCAGCAAATACTATCTGCGATTTATTGCCCGAGAAGTGGAAAGTGCGCTACGGACGAGCATATAGAAATTTCAAAGAATGGTGCCAGAACATAAACATTGGTGTTTCTGAAATGTCACTGCTAGCGTATTTCATGGAGAAGTCAAGAACTTGAAAGTCACCGGTGAGTTTGTGGAGTGAATACTTAATGATTAAGTCAACTATTTTCATAGAGAAGAACAAGGATATATCAAAATACCCCAAGCTGAGAGCATTTTTGAAACGTAAGAATGACTGCGATACACCTAAAAAGTCGAATGTTTTTACCAAGAGAACAAGTCAACGATTTTCTCGTTCAGCCACCTGATAACACATATTTGCTAATGAAGGTAGTGACGATCTTAGTCATTGCAGGAGCATGCCGTTTTGATGAGTTATGCAAACTTTGGACGTCAATTTCAAAAATTTCGATAACATTATTGTAGTACAGTTCTAGATTCTAAAAATGGTATGTCATTGTACGTTTACAATTACGTCTGGGTTTCTCACCTAGAAATTCTCAAGAAATATATCAGGTTTGGATTGGAAATTAAAACTGAAATTTCACGCTTTTTTGAGCTCTACCAAGTAGGTAGATGTTACAACCAATCTGTCGGCAAGAATACCCTTTATGTGATTCCTAATAATATTGCACAGTTTTTGAAACTAGAACATCCTGAAACATATACAGGCCATTCATTCCGAAGAACATCGGCAACGTTAATGGCTAAGATGGGAGTTGATGCAATCAAGAGACATGGTGGGTGGAAATCAGCCACAATTGCAGAAAGTTATGTTGCTGACAGTTTAAGTAACAAAAATGAAATGGCCAAAAGGATTCTTTACAATGATACTTCAACTCCAGGTTCTAGTAGTACGAGTACATCGCATCATGCTGTTTTAATGGATCAGTCAGATAATATTGAGCCTCCAGTGACTGAAATGGAGCGGTCAAATCATTTTGAGAAAAATGTGACAATTAGTAAACGCGAGGGGAAAAATTATAGGTTTTATAAATGTTTCTAAATGCAATATGTGTACAATTACTATGAATATTCATTCATAATAATATAATTAATAAAATGTAATGTTCATCAAATATTTCTATTTATTTGTTCATAAAATTTCTAACTCGAGATCGCTTTTTTGCTTAGGGAGGTAGGTTACCTCATTTACCTCCCGTTGTCCATAGCAACTTCCACTTCTACGGTAAAATCCATTTACCTCCTTAAAAACAACGTTTTAATAGTCTATTTACTATAGTGGGAGCAGATAAAAGTTATTTGATTGTCTGCTACATATTTTTCGTAGCTTAAATCGCTTTTGGAATAGTTTGCTTTGGGTCACCCCCTATTTGCAATTGTCAGAAAAAAATGTGATTTTGTTTTACCATGAAAGTGAATGGGTTTGTTGGCTGTCAAATAGTATATCATTTTTACTCAAGATATGTCAAGTGTTCGCTATTTTTGACCAATGAGCACAAAGTGAATACATTTTTTGATATTGTCACCTTAAAAAATCAACCATTTGGCTCACTGTCAGTTACCCTATTTTGACATCAAGAATCTGTTATTAAGCTTTATCCCAATGTTAATAATATACCCTGTAAATTTAAAATTTGCTAATTGTGAGCTTATTTTATATCTCAATGTAAGTACTACATTTAAAAAAAATATATATTCTAATTCTTTGTTTATTTAAGATTAAATTAACAAATACTATTACTTAAAGCAGTATTCATAATAATTATTTCTGACATATCATTATCTCTAGTTACAACTATGTTATAGCATTTGTCACGTTTTTAAGTACTACACGTTTGATTTTTGACGTTTTTTAAAGGGTTGGTATTTTTTTATTTTTATAAACATTTACTGGAATGTGTTCCTTAACACCAAATAATAACTTGTATGAACATGCACATACACATATAATCTTCAATTTAAATAAATTGAGTTACTTATCAAACCTTGTACGCTACATCTGCGGACAATAAAAAGTTTCCAATATGCTTGTGACAACCTCCTTATTAGACTTGTTCTTTAACCCCTTTGAACGTTTTAGGTCGGAAACTTGTTTTTGTCCATGATTGTACATAATCAACACTATAAAATTGAAAAACCACCAAATCGAGGTATATTTTGAATAAATGGTTTTATGTTTGCTTAAGAAACCCGTTCCAGTCAATGAGAATGTTTGTTTTATTTTCTTTGTTTTATTTTTTCTAATTTTCTTTTTCCAGAAAAAGATCCTCATCATAATCTGCCTCATAGTAGCTCTCATCATATTAATTATTATATTAGCAGTTACATTGTAAGTTTTTCGAGGCCATCGCCGACTAGTGAGCATGCTAAAAAAACGGGTGTAGCTGGAATTTCTAACACATTTACAAAAAGAACATTCTTCAAATGTTGCAATATAGCATTAATGACTGTACATTTCTAGTGTTGACCCCTATGGTAGCTCCTGTGGACTTGTATTTCAATAATTTATCTTAGAATTCTAGTTGTGAACTGTTATGTTGTATTCGGCGCTTTGATCGCTAATGGAGGGGACCTATGGAAGTGATTTAACTACTGTTTAGTAGTTAAGAGTTTTATCCTCTGTTAAGATGCTCTGTCTAACTAAAGTAACAGTTAATATCGCAAAATGTATAAAAAAAAAGTTGAACCCTTCTTCGTAGAAGATTTAAAGTATATACAGATAAGCTTAGGTATTAAACGACATACATATATTATCAGTCTAAGCAATACAAGAAAATTGTAAATATCTGTTATTCGAATTTTACACGAACAGTCTCTGGGGATGTATATTTTGTTTGTTTGGGAAACGCATACTGTGATTTTAGTACTTTACTAAATTTGAATAACAAATATTGAACATTTTTTATTGTTTAGCATTGTATTGAATATTTGGAAGTTTTCTCTAAGAGTACTCCTAGTTCTAATGCCAAACAATTGTTTTTCCCCAAAATAGCAGACCCTGCGTAAAAATATCGCAGAGACCGAGTAATTATTATATGGAAAGAGGATTAGTAGCAGGTAGCATAACAATCTTGTATGTACGTCAAAATAGATTAAAAAATAAGAAATATATCAGACAAGAATAAAAGCTATATGTGCCTAATTTGAGGAAAGTTTTAGACCGAACAGTATAACATTTTTTTAGCGATTAAGTTTTAACCCTGACCTGACGAACTTTTGACTGAAACAGCGTAGACGTGTTTAAAATGTAATTTTGACCTGAAACAATCAAACAAGATATAAGATATCTTATTTGAATTTGAAAATGATCGCTTACTATTGAATTTGAGATGCTAAAAAAATGATTTACTACCTATCCAATATGCATGAGCTTACTAACACTGATGGGAAACGAGTTATAGGGGTGACCTTATGACTTGGATCAACCGATATTTTTTTCTGTAAGTTATTTTCTGTTTACTCAAAAAAATATTTAATTTTATTAACAGATTTGTACTAAAATTAGTTTTCAGAATTTGTTTATTTTTCTCCTACCTCTAAAAATGGTTATATTTTTAATATTTGTCATGTTTTTTTTTTAGTACACATCTGGTTTTAACGCTTTTTTAATTATTTATTTTTACATGGACTGGAATGTATTGCTTAACATCACACAATAAAACTTATTAATGTGATGGATTAAAACCTTTATTTGGGTAAATATTAACAATTCAATACTAGAAGTGGTTGTACAGTCCATACGATATTTGTTGAGAGAATTCCAAGAAGACTCCTGCATCACTTTTTTGGAATTAACCACATTCGACAACCAAGGTAGAGCTTGCAGTACATATAGTCCAGGCGATAGAGCCGTAAAAGAAGTCATCTATTTTGTTGTACAGAAAAATCCCAAATATTACGTAGAATAAGAATCCGAGCGTGCCTATTCCAAAAAACCATTGCTAAATTCAGGGGAACCACAAACATACAAAAAGAACAAAAAATGACCCGTTTTTCGACATATTTTTCCCAGTAACATTGAAAGGAAGCACTAAATAAAAAAAATCAATCTTTATTTTTTGTTTATTTGACGATTTTCTATAAAATTACAACTGTGAAAAAAAAGTTCAATTTTGCATTAACAGTGGGCGAAAAATAGTAGGAAATCAATTTTTAAAATAAGTAAATATTTATAAATATTGATGAAATTTTGTGAACAAAAAGTAAAACATATCATGTCAATTCTACCTTAAAAATTTTGCACGAACGATCGCGTGATTTTCGATTGACAGGATTGTTAAATAAGAAAAATTCAAAAAGGTTATCGCTTACCGTGGTTAAATTAAGGTTTAGAAAGGACATACAATTTTTTAGAGATACTTGTTATAATAAACAATGATCGATACTAAAAATATGTATTTTTATACTTTTATAACCATTTAGAATTTTTTTTAATTTTTCAACATTTTACTCTATAAAAAATTATTTATTGCCTACGAAATTTTCTATGCAATCAATTGCAAATTGCCTCGGCAATAAATAATTGTTTATAGAGTAAAATGTTGAAAAATTAAAAAAAAATCTAAATGTTTATAAAAATGTAAAAATAGGTATATTTAGTATTGATCATTGTTTATTGTGACAACAAGTATCTCTAAAAAAATCTTCTAAACCTTACAATATTTTAAATTTCCTTAATTGACTCCTGTCAATCAAAAACCACGCGATCGATCGTTGCGAAATTTTTAGGGTAGAACTGACATATGTTTTACTATTTGTTCACTAAGTTTCATCAATATTTATAAATATTTACTTATTTTATAAATTGCTCCAAATATACATGATTTTCTACTATTTTTCGCCCACTGTTAATGTAAAATTCAACTTTTTTGATTCGTAGTTGTAATTTTATATAAAATCGTCAAATGAACAAAAAATAAAGAATGACTTTTTTTATTTAGGGCTTACTTTAAGTGATACAGGGAAAAATATGTCGAAAAACGGGTCATTTTTCTTTCTTTTTGTACGTTTGTTGTTCCCCTGAATTTAGCAGTGGTTTTTGTGGAATAGTCAAACTCGGATTCTTATTCTACATAATATTTGGGATTTTTCTGTACAGCAAAGTAGATGACTGCAAATACAAATGGCTCGAATGCTCTATCGCCTGGGATAATACTATGTTCCGCAGTTACAAAGGCATGTTTCTTCGTAAGTGTATCATCCTGTGCATTTTCAGTATAATTATTAAAATAAATGAATGGAGGTGAAAAATAAAATTATTCCCAGTCGAAGAGCATCATGTTTAACGATATAATTATGTATAATTATGTCTAGACATTTTTTCCAAATGAAATTAAAATACAATTAAAAAAAACGAGTACTCCACTGTACTGAAAAAAACTAAAACACATTTTAGTCCTAAAAATCTACTTTATATACAGGGTGTTGCATAAATGTGTACAAAAAAATTTAGGACTGCATTCCTTGGAAAATTTTAAGGGGGTCTTTCATAAAAAAAATTAATTGGAGCTTCCCCTAAAATGTTGCACTGCATAAAAGGTGTAAACTGGTTTTTTGAATTTTACTCAAAAGCGGTTGAATAAGCAAACGAAATTTGGAATAATGTATATTTACCTTATATATATTTTCATATTCTGAAAATAACGTGGAAAAGGTCAAGGCACGCCCTTGCGTCGGTAAATTGTTACAGTGGTTCCGATAACAGAACTTTATTGGCTTATTTTGTTCTTGGAATTCTATTTTGACAAATATTGTACAGACTTGCATAATTGGTTAAGAAATGTATCCCAGTCAACGAATGGTATTTGGTTTATTTTTTTAATTTGTTTTTTTTTATTTTATTTTTTCAGAAAATGATCCTCATCATAATTTGCCTCGTAGTAGCTCTTATCTTATTAATTATTATATTATCAGTTACCCTTACGGGGGCTTAACTGGAATTTTAAAAAGTAATACGAAAAGAGCTTTCTCCAAACGAATAATTAATGAATGTACGTTTCTGTTGTTGATCCCAAACGTCGCTCCTGTGGACTTGTATTTCAATAATTTATAGTAGAAGTCGAATTGTGAACTGTACTGATTTACCGTGACCCTTTGATCGCCAGTAGAAAGGTCTTTTTGGAGTGATTTAATTACTATTTAGTACTGTCTAATTCTGTCTTATTAAAGTAACAATTAATATTGGAAAATGTATAAAAAATTGTGCCTATTTTACCTACATAGAACAAGATTCAAAGTGTGTACAAATAAGCTTAGTAATTAAACAACATATTAATATCAGTCTGAGCAATACAAAAAAATTGGAGATATATGTTATTTGAATTGGAACATATAGATTTTTAATTTAAGAAATCTCATGCTGTGATTTTGCTACATGGTGAAATTTGGATAACAAATATTGAAAATTTGTTTTTGTTTAGACAAGAATATTGAATCTTTAAAAAAATTCTCTAAGAGTACTCTTAGTTCTAATGTTAAAAATATTGTATTTCCCATAAAAGCTAATAGTTGATCCACTTTGTGGAAAAAGATTTCAGGGTAATTGCTATTAAGTTTTTCGAGACGGAACAAATAGTAGCAAAAATATTTTGGATTATATAATAATTACATTTGTACGTCAAATTGGATTTAGAAATAAAAAATAAATTCTTGAATTATCAAAGTAAAGAAGCTATATCTATATCTGAATACGAGGAAATTTTTAAGCTAAACAAAATATCAATACAAAATTTTTTAGCAATAAAACGTAATTTGTTATTCAATTTTGCTTAAGTGGTGGTCTTCTATAGCTTGTAAATATGATAGTTTTGCAATATGCAATATGTAGGCTTGGAAAATGTAGAGTAGATGATCCTCTTTAGTTTAAATGACTATATAGGTAATCAATACGAGGCTTAAGTAATCTTTTAATTATTTAAAATACGAAGAAACTGCCGTTTCGTATTTAGTTACTTTTTGCTTTGTTAAGTTGTGGTAATCTTAACGAATTTCTTGCCCTAGCTTTTTTCTGTCTAAATATTGAAATATTGGAATTGAAATTGCTACTTGTTGCGCCATTTGTGTGAATAAGGCTTAAGAAAATTAAAATATATTTAAACGAGAATGACAATATCGTTACTCAAGCCTCGTGTTGCGTTGTTATACACACAGTTGCACTATATAAAACTGTGATTTCTTCTTCAGTAAGTAAGTATAGTGTGATAATTCATATTGCATCACAACATCCTTTGCAGTTTGTAGTAATTTCACAATACTCATTTTAGTTTCATAAAAAAAGATCCTATTAGTAAAAACGCAAATGTATGACTATTCCGGTATGCTGCCAAACTTTGAAACCTTGTAAGTTTTATTTTGTTTTTTTTTGCCTATATTTTTCAGATATGACTAGTTTTATTTAAAAATTTGCTTTTTTTGTATATATTTTTCCCAGTTATCAGAACTGATATATTTAAAATATTGTTGATGTTATATTTTTGAACTCTTCATTTTTCTGCATTTAGTCACCGTTAATTTACATTTTTTGGCATTTTAGTATTTTTATCCAGATTTTATTTATTAAAGCATTTATAAATGATATATTTATTTAAAAAACTACTAACAATGCCAAAGACAATTGTTTTAAATTATTATGTAAAATTATGTTGTGTATATATGCATATTATTTATACGTATTTTATTTATGTCGTATCTTATTTTATTACTTACCAATTATTATTTGCACATATTGTTTATATATTGTATTTATAAATTATTAAATTTTCTTTTATATATTTTTTTTGTTTTATTTTTTATGTATAATTTTTCGTTTTTTTTCGTTTATTTGTGTTAATTTCCACAAATCTAACACTGTCATTTTTTTCATATATAGAAGACAATTATGATATTAATCTGCTTGTCAGTTGTAATTGCGTTAGTAGGAGGAGGAGCAGCAATGAAATTTTTATAAACTGGAAGTAAGTATTGAAAACGAATTAAAAAATCTGATTTACAAGCTCGTTTTAAAAAATACAGAAAACGTTTATTTCTAGGTTAAAAAAATTGAAGATTTATCCATACGTGAAAAACAAAATAGAATCAGAAATTATAAACGTTTGATTTCCACACTGCCAGGTCTATACAGGAAAAAAAACAAGATAAATAATTGCATACATACTCTTGAAATAAATTATGATATTTTAGTGTTCGCCTCTTCTTAGAGGGAGCTACACTAAGAAAAGTGGTTTTTATGACAAATAAATCACTATGGTGGATTTATATTAACAATATACAGGGTGCAACTTTGGATGGGGTGTCAAATTTCTTTTCTCATTGAAAGGTTTGCTTTCTCAAATTCTGTTGTGAAAACTGAATTTGTTCTAACCTTTTTTTTTGTATCTTCCTACCCGCCACTGGACATTGCTATTAAAACACATTTTTCTTGATTCATATTCAAAATTTTTAATAATATCGCACAAAAATTAACAATGAATACACACAAACACCGCACCATCACGAAGCCATGTCTAAATTTTTTTTAAATTCAGACTTTAATCTCTGAATTCTGACTGATTCCTTCAGTCTTTTAAATTAAGGTCAAAAAATATATGTTTTTTTCTTATTTAAAACCAAGTCAGTGTGCTTGTTTGTTGGAGAATATTTTTATAAGAGTTTTAGTCATATCTTGACCGAATCTACTCCCCAGCTAATTTTTGTAGGCTTACACTGTGACACCCTGTATATGGGTGATATATAATACAAGTGTACGTTAGAGTGGCCCAAAAAATATTTTTATTAAAATATGTTAGTTTATTATGTTTTATGAGCCCCCTCAAAAAATCAGCTCAAAAATATTTTTATAGAGGTCACTCAAGATTTTTAAAAATTTCCAAAATCATCAAAAATTGATTTTTTTTTATTTTTTCTCATTATTTTATCATTTTCTAGATCGAAAAAATCTCAATTCTGAAAATTTCAAATCTATATTTTAATTTCTAAAGGTCACTCATAATTATTTTAACTTTAAAAGTAGTGTACCTAAAATGTTTTCGAACAACCTCTAAAAGTAAATATCAACTAATAATTTTTTTTATTGAATTTGATGAACAAAAGAATAGACATAAATCACGAGACACTTAAAAAATTTCTCGGGGCAAAATGTACTACCGCACTATTAGTATCAACTATTTATAATTTTTTAAAATCTAGATGTCTTGTGATTTATTTCTATTCTTTTGTTCTTCAAATTCAATAAAAAAAAATTATTAGTTCGTTGATATTTATTTTTAGAGGTCGCTTGAAAACATAAGTACACTACTTTGAAAGTTAAAATAAAAATGAGTGACCTTTAGAAATTACAAAAATCTATATGAAATTTTCAGAATCGAGATTTTTTTCAACCTAGAAAATGATAAAATAACGAGAAAAAAAATTAAAAAGAGAATTCAATTTTTGACGATTTTGGCAATTTTTAAGTCGAGCGACCTCTAAAAAATTTTTTTTGCGCTGTTTTTTACGAAAAAAAAAATATTCGTGTTTATTTGAGCCACCCTAGGGCACTTATATCCTTTTGCTACTCAATATGAATGCTTTAAAGCAGACCTGAATTATCAGTACTTTTCTATACAGGTTGATCCAAAAGTGTCCACCATTGCTAACTATGTTATTACTGGACATACAAAATTGGTTGCACTACCAAAGTTGCAGTGATTTTAAAACTATTAAAACCCTGTGAACAAAAAAACAATTGAAAATCTCATTTTGTCGAATTAATGTTGACCGTTTGTGCTATTGTCATATCACATCAGGTGATCAGATTGATATTATACGAGTGCAAACACAGTGCTTAAGAAAAAATAGAAAACTTTTTAAAAAATATTTCAGATCTACCAGATGAGGAAGTTATACTTACATTTAGCAACATATGTATATCCTCATACCTGAATAGGTTAATATTATTATTACTCGTATAATCTTATATTATATTATTATAATATTATTGAAAACAATTGAAATTTGTTTAATGTTCTGCAAAGCAATCTGTTTTTGCACAATTGCCATTGCAATTTTACTATGTTTGTCACACACAGTTTTTTAAAAAAATATAGGCAACACTAATATTGGGGAGTTGGCCAGTGGCGGGGTAGGTGATGATTTAAGTGCAGTTTAAAAAACAAATTATAAATAATTTAAAATAAGTTCATGTATAATTTTTTTTTAAATAAGCTTTTAGTGCCACCATGCATTGTCATCCAAACTAAATGTGTATCAATTGGTTGGTGATAACAATTTTAAAATTCAGTTGCAAGATTTGACCCATACTAACAAGCCAAGTTAAATAAAAGCTTGTAAAAATAATAAATTCAGATTAATATTCTTGTGAATAGATGCTATTATTTATAAAAAACTGACACCCATATTAAAATCACACCCTGTATGCATGTCAGAAATCCCCAGACAAATATATGCAAAAATTTCAAGAATATTGTATTGCACCAAACCAGTATTTATTTAAACAATTAATACAAAAAACCTCTGTTTTTCACAAGTAAATTTTTTAAATTATTATTTGGAACTTGTAATAAAAAGCAAAATTCTAGTATATAACTGGAAAATGAACTAAAACCATTTGTGTTACCTATGTCAAAAGTAGAAGACTAAATATTTTAGGGATTATACATGATGTCTCCGAACAACACGAGAAAAGAAATTTTTTACCTGAAAAGTGTGACATGTACAGGGTGTTACAAAATTCTCGGACACAGACTGTGGGATCATATTAAGCTAGAGAAGGTGATAAAAAAGTGTCTTTATGATTTTTCAGACCAGTATTTTTCGAGATATAACAGTATATATTTATAAATTTCAATTTTCAATCATTAGATAAACAATTACGACAAACGAGTTACAACACACATTGTGCTACTGCTCTAATGGAGTTGCTTATCACCTCTGATGTTTTTAAGAAGCCCCAAAATAAAAAATCGCATGGCATTAGGTCTGGAGAACGAGGTGGCCAAGCCAACCACACTGCTTCACCTGCACGATTATTTGAAGCTTCGAGAGCGATAAGCATATCTATCATACTATGCACAATTTGAATAATTGTGGCCTATTATGTTGCGGTTTGTATTGACAGGTACTTTTACTGTACTCTAACGATGTCAAAGTATTGATAAATGCTTTCTGAATTGTCATTAATTGTTACAGAGCTGTCTGTTTCAAACAATACAACAAACAATGCTAGAGATGGTAGGTACGCAACTCCGTTCGAGCTGTAGCACAATGTGCTGAAGCATGTTTAGCAGCAGGTGGTGGAAATTTTGAACAATTCGTTTGTCATAATCATTTATCAAATGATTTAAAATTGAAAATTTTTATTATTTTTGGACATTTAAACCTGCCGTATCTCGAAAAATATCGGTCTGATTGAAAAATGATAGACATTTTTTTATGACCTTATCTCTTAACATGATCTCAGAGTACGTGTCCGCGAATTTCGCAACACCCTGTATGCCACTGAAATTCCCAAAAAAATAAATATTAGTTGCAAGGTATTTTTATTCTAACAATTTTTATAACTTATTCGGAGACAGCGTGTACATTTATTAAGTAATGTCAATTTCCTGGAAAATTATTTTATGCCTGCAAGGAAAACTAACTTCACTCCCAATGTAAATAGAAATCCATGAATATGTATCTATAAAGTATTTCCTTTTCATTTCTCACGTGTGTAATCTTGTTCGATGCATTCATTGAATGATGCTATAAAATAAAAACTTTAGACAATAATAGTATTCTATTTAAAATTAGCTCTTCTATTGGAAATGTTTATTGTAGTGGTAAGAGGCATCATTTGATGAAAAATTTCTGTAATGTACTTTTAATGTAAATTCTCTATTTACATTTAAACCTATAAATAATATATCTTCCGCCAAGTGTTTGAGTTTTATTCAGAAATAAATGCTGTAGTTCTGAAATATTAGTTTACTTGTCTTTCTTTACACAAATAATTTAAATGAAAAAAATAATCCTATTACAATTTTTTTATGCTCTTTTTTATAGTTTATAAATATGTCTCGGATAAATAATTTCAGGCAATGACTTATTTCAGAATTGCACACGAAAATCTTTGTAATAATATTCTTTATGCCTCTTTTAAGGAAAAAAGGTATGCCTCTTTTTAGTCTATTTTCTAAGTAGTTTATATATGCCATATTTTTCTAGGCAGTAGCACAAATTCAACCATAGGTACACGGAACACAATCACATTACACTACGCTGTGCCACACATTATTACACATATATTTTTTTAATAAACACTTCAAACCATTTTCTAGTGACAAATGGCACATTGTGTAGTGTAATTATTCCTGAAAATAATTAACTGTTTTCTTGTGTGTTTACCAATTTGCAGAAGAAAATCATGATTTTAATCTGTCTGACGATTCTGGCAATTATTATCACTTGTACCATTGGAGGATACCTTGGACTGGTTTAAATATTAATTTTGGTAAGTATTTCTGTACTGGGTGATCTAAAACTATGGGCGAAAAATTCAGGGGGTGGATCC